TGTGATTTCCATGGAATCCCAAGACTGACACTCAATGACTTCCAGTAACCTTCAACAAGGAAGAGTAACTTAACGTAAAATAAAATAAACGTTGCCAACAGATTTAGCATGGTCGACTATGTAGTTTTGTTCCTCTTTGAAGATTATTGGAAGTCACTGAGTGTCAGTCTTGGGACTCCATGGAAATCACATACCACGTCCAAATCACTCAAAATCAAAGTTTCACTTGGCTCCCACGTTGAAGAGGACACTTAAGGGGCGAAGACAGTTGCAGAAGCATTGAAAGTAAACTCAACGTTAACGAATCTTAATATGAACCCGAAGAGTATTTCGAAGGAAGGGGTGAGGGGTCGCACATAGGACCGTATTAATAGTAGAAAAAAAGCATACCAATGCAACGACAAACCGTTACTTAAACAAAGCCGCTTGATTTCGACATGAGAAAACGTGTAAACTATAAGTAACAAGTTTACAAAAGTCAAAATAAAATACCAATAAAACTATTACTTACAGAGAATCGTATAATTTATCTTTCAGATACGTTCTTTTTACACTTGATGATAATACAAGACTTTTCTCAGATGGTAAGGAGCTAATAGTCACCATTCTCGTCTGAATGAGTCAAGACGTCATAGGAAGAGAAGTCTTTTAACTCCAATCAATTTTTCTAGAAATTATCTAATAAACAAATAGCTAACAGTTGCAGTTCTATAAGAACTGGCAGTAGTTCGCGTTCTTTTGAACAGAACGAAGGATTAGCTCACGTTCAAAACAACTGAACTGGCACTGTCTACTTCGGCTATGTATATAATTCTTTGCTGAAGAAGGGAATGATTTAACGAGAACATTAACTGATACTCTGTAATCCTTACCTTCTTTCATCGAAGTAGCTAGATAAATTCTATTATTATATTCTAAAAACTTGAAATAAATACAAAAGTCAGTTTTATACAGATGCACACTTCCACAGTTGTAAGTATTCTATGTCGATCCCGGTCCACTCGAGGAAAAAGACATAAACCGACCGGTCTACCGGCAGATCGGCGATCGATTCCGCTGGACCGATCCGGCCGACAATATTGAGACCGGTATCGGTTCCGGTCTAAACTTTTTAGACCGGTTACATCTATGGGTTGAGCATTCACTTTAGCACAGTCATTAGCTTTCTTGAAATTCTTTTTGGATTTGTTTTAGTGCAGCAGTCGATTGTTTCTTTAAATCTTGACAAACTGATTTTTTTTTACAGCAATGCTGAAGTACCATGAAATCCTGTAAAAAAACTTCAGTACGATACTGCCATTATACACGGCACCATTACTGAAGACATAGGCGGCGGAACGAATTGGGTCCAGAATAGGCTCAACATTTTTTAATATCGAAAATAACACAAAAAAGATTTTTTATTAGCAGATCTATGGTAGGTTCAACCTCTTCAAGCCTACAGGCTCCGCCGTCTATGACTAAAGGGCATCGAGCTTAGAGAGTGTCGAACCACTGCCGATCAGCATCGGTACAGTACTGAAATTTTCCTGTTGCTGAAAAAGTGTCACACTATTTTAAAGAGTGATATCAATGTACACACTATTTCCAGAAACAATGTCAAAATCACGTATCAATCCGTATCCGTGCACGATTAGTGCCGGTCAAAAAAAGCCTGTTTGCAGGGAGGCTATTTTGTTTCAACATTGATTGCTCAGCTGCTTATTCTGTTCCTACTGGACGGATTACTATTTTGTTGGATAATTTTGTACGTAATATACTTTAAAGAAATGACTTAGTACTTTCATTAAATAATCTAAATTGGGTCAAATCATAACGTTATTTATGATGATGATCGACCGCAATTGTGTGTAATATCCTTCATATACTAAACAAAAGTCATAATATATATTTCAAAAAATAAAATTTACTTCTAGAACTAAAAAAAGAAAAATGACGATATGTATTTGATATGGAATAAAAACAACAATTATTGCTATAGAAGATTAAAAAGCAGATTGTTTATACACACATAGGTGGGTTTACAAAGCCAAAAACGTTTAGTTCAATTAATAATGACACGATTACAAATATTCCATAAACTGCCAGAAAAAATAATCCTAAAAACTTGTCTAAATACCATTTGCGACCATGAAAACTGATCACCTAAATTTTCAATAAAACATCCATGATAAGTTATAACTTACCAGAGTTTTGTAGTAAGATACTTACTGTTACTGCAACAATACCTAGCAGCAAAACAGAATCATACATAAGACCATTGCTATTTATGTGCACAGGTTCACCACTTGTTAGGGTTTTAATGAACCATGGCAATGCCAAGCCAATTAATAAGTCAAAAACATTGCTACCAAATGTATTTGATACTCCCATATCCACTAGACCTATTGCATAAACCACAATAATGAAATATTGTGCATTTTATTTAAATAATTTATTACCTTGGCGTACAACTAATACACTAGCTAATGCATCCGGAATACTACTTCCAGCTGCTAAAAACGTAATTCCCATCACGCTATCAGGAATACTGAAGGTAAAACCAATAACTGTGACCTAAAAAGTCGGAATAATATAAGATTTAATAACATCGTTGAATGTCAACCTCACCATCCAAACCATGACATAAGATAAAATAGCTAACCAGACAATAGCCATGAAAAATGTAATCGGAAATAATTTACTCCATCTATGGAGTAGAAAAGAGAAGTAAAAAATGTCTTTGTATTATTTATTTTGTCTACCTTGGATTTCTACAATCTGGAATGGTGAGATAAAATAATAATTTAATGGGAAGTGTTCCTAACCATTTGACAAAATTTATTGATTCATATTTCCAATTTGGTACATCTTTCCAACTTTGATAATCCTCATCAACAGCCAACAAACTGGAAGTACATGGACAATGAGTAATAAAAAAAAAAAAAGAGTTCTTCTTCTCACCTTGGTGTTCTTCCTTGATAAAATGAAAATCGTCGTTCGGTGGCTGGTTTTTGTGGTCGACTTTCACCTTGACCCTGTCTCAAACGCATCTAAATACATTGCAAAGGATGCAATTTATTTAAACTTATTTGCAAAGACAAGGTAAAAATACTTCTGTAATAACAAAACGTGCTGCCATTCTAAAACGTGTTTTTGATCGAAAATGACGCGTCATCATTATTTTTAATACGGCTGTTTCAAAATCAATAGCAAAACGTGACATTGCAATTAGATCATCGATGGGTATTTTATGTTGTTGTTGTATATTATCATCAAAATTTATGTCATCATTGTCAAAACGCTCTATTTCATATAAAAGTCAATAGTAATCGGATTATATAGTCATAATTCTCACTTACTATAGGTATTTCCTAATCCATATGTTTTTTGAGTTTGTGCATAAGTTATTATTGGTTCAGCTGATGTGCCACTATCAGATTTGAATACAGACCACCGATGAATGATTAGACGTTGTAACCGTTGATTATTACTATGAAACCAAGTATAGTTGTTATTACAGTAAACCATGGTAAACATGGTAATAAAACTTACCACATGATAACGATATACCCAACATACATGACTAGTAGAATTGTTGCTTCGATAGTCGTTACTCTTCCATCTGATAAACACTTGAAAAATGTATTTAGATGTGAATGTAGTATATGAAACTAGTATAATTAATTGTACACTTACAACAACCAATACCATTATTGATAATGCATAAAACAAAGAATCTCGGCATAATGGCCACCATGTCAGTTTAACTGCCTACAAAAACACAAATTCTCACATCTTGTACGAATATTGAATGAAGATAATAGTTTGAACAAACATACTCCAGTCACAAAGAGACCACAAATTCCTATCACACACACAATATTGAATACAGCTGAACCCACAATTGTACCCACTCCAACATCTCCTTTTGCAATGAAGATTCCTTTAAAAAAGTATACAATTGATTCATCTTAATAAATAATAGCAATATTATATTCATTAACCATACCTATAAGAGCAATAAAAAGTTCTGGCGATGATGAGCCGCCTGCCATAAATGTTGCACCCGCAATGTCTTCGTCCAAACCTAATTTCTATAACATCACAAAAAATCACAGTGCTATTAACTGTAATGTAACTGTGCAATATTATAAAAGTTCTTCTATCTCTTGATTTTACGCTTTATAGATGAATTAATTATAAATATTACTTTTCAATTTTCATCCACTATTGTAAATATATGACAGAAAGATATATCTTGATTAATAAAAGATTTTCAACATTTGAAATAAAATCATGATACTTACTGCACATAGTTTATCTAATGCAGCAATAAAGTAATCATTTACAACAAGTGCTGTAGCAATAAATACATAACATGCTGCTAATAAGTGAAATACAATAGCACCATGCCGTCGTTGCGATTGTGTAAAAAGATCTTTTGGAAATTCATTAATAGCTAATAAATAAAGATGATATTTCAAATATATACGTGACTAGAAAATCTTTATTTTTAATATTAAACTGTAAAATTCTTACAAGTTTTATTCTCCTGCATCCTTTTTTTACCTGGTTCTGTACAGTTTTTCAATAAAGTATTTAAAACTGTGGTAGTTCTTGTACGATTTGATAATAAAGTTTCATATTGTTCTAAAAAATAGAAATAACACATATAACCTGTAAATTAAACGACAACATATCAATTACACTCCAGTCGTAGCAAAAGGATAACCAAATCATAAAATTCTCTTTATTTAAATCTTTCACAGAATAATATCCATCGTTCAACTAAATTAACTTTCTCTTAACTTTATGTCTATATGGACTATCAGTTGTGCGTTTTAAATGAACATGTCATTTATCCTGTCTATGACACTTGAATAATACATGAATAATCAGCATGTAAACTGCAAATCTCAAAGGATTTATGTAAACGAACTTCACAATAGTAAGAAAAAAAACAAATTTTCATTTATTAAATGAATAAGATTTAAAAGAAAGAAAAAAATTATAGTAAAAGGGCAAAAATAATGAGTCAAAAAGAAGAAAAATAAAATATTAATGAATCTCGTTTTCTTTCGATGTTTGAACATAGGTAAAAACGAAGAATAATTAATTTCTTTTTTGTTTCAAAATAAATATTTAATAGTCTTAGGATGATGCGAAGCTTGAATTCAAAAAATTTTTGAGAAAAGGCTAGTAAACGTATAAATGGTGATATTACTGATTATTGTTCAAAATACAAAACAAAATAATTTGTCAACGACTCAAATATAATTTTTTTTTTTTACACATAAATTATTGCATTTCCCCATCCTATCGGTAGAATAAATTATTTTTTTTTCCCAGCAGGCAAGATATGAATTTTATAAGTAAGTACTGTTATATTTAACATAAGGCTATGAATAATCAAAATTATTGTTAATACTTACCATTTTGTCGTTTATTAGTCAACAATAATGTTTTATCTTTTGCATAAGTTGGTTGAATGGTTGTCGAGATCAATTTTGCTAATATAATTGTTATAAAAAGTCTTAGAATAAATTTCAAATTTTGTTTTCTTACTAATCCTCGACCGTTTGACATTAATGAATAAAACATGATTACACAATTATATGTCTGTTTGTCTGACAGATCTCTCGTTTTCTACTTTTATTTTTCGTTCTCGTGTTTAAAATTTTGACCACAAAAAAAAAGAACTACTACCAGTAACAAGCAAGCACACAACAGCAAATTATTATCCTTTTATAATCATTTATTCATTTGAAAAAAAAACGAGAGAAATAAAAAAAACAAAAAAAGAAAAAATCCCGGTTCATCACAACTAATTACAAATAGATAGCAAAAAAAAATAGAAGAATATTCTGAAAATAATACGTCGTCAATTGAACACAAAAAGAAAATGGCTGCGTGTTAAAGAATAGAAAAGAAAAGAAAAAAAAAAAAAAACGTTCACTTTTTTTCAGATGTTTACAAATCGGAAAACAGACATTATTTTTCTTTTATAGTAATTTTTTTTCTTTTTTAGCTTAAATAGAAGAGTACTCTAAAATTATATCTGCACGTACATCGATATATATACATATCTATATAGAGTGAGAGGATGGTACACGATTTGAACGAGCAAGAAATAGAAAAAGGAAAAGAAATTAATATATAACAGAAAAGAAACGAAATAATTTAAGAGACATTTTCTCTCTCTCTCCGTTCCGATGATGACAAACATTTTCAAATATTATCAAGTACTTTCATTCCATTAAATGCACACATACACCGAGAATAAATGTTTTTCCAAATAACATACATATACTGAACACAATAACCGATTTTAAAGAATAAATATACACAATACACAGTTGGTGTTAGAGAAAATAATTGAGCTTAATAATGTATGGGGAGGGGGGGGGGGGGCGGGAGAGAAGGAGAGTTCTAATAGAAGTTTTTTTTAAATTTTACCTACTTAAAACATTAACATTGTTTTTTTTTATTTATTTAGCAATTTTTCTTCGCGTATTGTTTGTAGACGTATATGACATACTCATCATAGTAGTTTACTGTTGAAAAAAGTGAACAAATGTTGACAAATGTAATTTTCATAAATAGAACGGCTTCTCTCTTAATTTATACAGCACTCTAGAACTTTTTCTGAAAAACAGATTATACAAGCTGAATATAGTCAATCATATATGAGAAACTGTAGTACTTTTGAAAACATCCTATCTAAACACATCTTTCTTCTACCAATCTGCGTGTTTCTGCAAAAAATGATATTTCCTTCCGTTAAAATACGTTTGCGTCATACATGATTATCTAATGCTGTGGAGGATGCTTAACGGTGTGTTTATACATTTAAAAAATAGGGTGGCACGGCGAATGTAGAAAAAATTCCACTAATGTGTTAAATGTATGAAGTGCCACTTTTAATACCATTTCATGCAAAAACATGAGCCATGCAACGCGTTTAGTAGTACTCAAATTCTTACATGGGAATCCATTAAAAATAATATTGAAAAAGCATAAAACATGAATAACAATCTAAAAACGCTGCAAAAAGATGACAATATTTTTAGTTCTTCCAGAACAATAATGGAGCAATTTTGACAACACAAGAACAATTTATAGATATTACTATGAATCTTTGAGTGTTATAATAATGATATTTTAAATTCTTCGGATTTAATAAATAGTTGAAAATATATTTCAGTTTTAATATTAGCGATTAAAACTGTTAAAATCAAGTCGAGATAAATGACTGTTCAAAGAGGATCACAGAGAAAGAAAAGAAAGAAAAACATATCCATACCTACTCTTTAAAAAAAATAGGTTTATTATGAAACCTAAAAGAGTATAGAGAAGTGCAACCATTTCGAAGCCGTTTTAGGTTTCGTATGAATCCCTTTTGGGTTTCGTGCTTCGACTACGAAACCTTTTATGGTTCTGGGCGAAAAAAAAGGTTGCGTAGTCGAAGCACGAAACCCAAAAGGGATTCATACGAAACCTAAAACGGCTTCGAAATGGTTGCACTTCTCTATACTCTTTTAGGTTTCATAATAAACCTATTTTTTTAGAGAGCAGAAGGGTTTCGGGCGAGGATCAAACAGGAGTTAGACACACATACTAAAAAAATCTAACTAGGCTCTAAAGAGCGGTGTTCTATTCGGCGAATGTCTTGTTCTTTCGTCTTAGGAACTTGAAGGAAAGAACCATCCATCGGGATACCACCTTCAGATTGTAGAACTTGATTTCGGTGATATCTCTTCGTCTTGATTCTGCTATTTCAACTTGCTATATACTTCGCTGTTGTTCCATCTGTTCGATTTTACCATTCTTACGTGTTACTACATGCTTTCCATTCCACTATATTCCCTCTTGTTGACACCAGTATTTAGCACACGCATTCACATGTTCAGTGATTCCCTGTGGCTTTTCCACATTGTATGCTTTTCCACATTTTAGACAAGAGTACTCATTCTGGTTATTTCGCTTCAGTGTGTGACCTTTCGCTGGGCGGTTCACTTGTGATGTTGTGGTTCTTTGAAACGTCTTATCACATGTTCGCATATGAACAGCCACCCCACGTTCGTTTTCACATATTTGGCAGCACCTTTGGGCAGACATTCGGCGTCTGTAACCTTGTCAGCAACGGTTTGTTGGCTTTGGCCAGTTCAACCGCTCATCTAGCAATAGCCCGATTTTTGTATTCTCGAACAACGCTTTTGATATTTCTATCAACAGGCTTCGTCTGAACAGCTCGATTAATCAATTCTCTCCACTTATCCTTGTCCATTGTATCTCTTCTCCAGTTACTTATGTTGAACTTGTCCAGATCATCGATAATTTTACCTTGCCACCTTTTTTTCACATCAGAATGTTGCATTCGACGAGATATCGTAAATAAGAAAAAATAAAATTTTCTTCAAGAACTGTGGCTGTTTATTCGCATTTTCCATACGACTGACATGTCCAAACCACCTCAATCTATTCCTTCTCATGATGTTATGCAATTGTGTTGTTCTGTGAGGATCACAGAGACCAACATTGGGAGTAATGATCTCTCTATTCTCTTGATTTGAGAACAGAATTTATACAATTTTTAAAAGCCGATAGATTGAATTTATTCGTGAGTTTTATCGTATTCAAATGCAAAGTTGAAAAATGACGAGATCGGAAATTCATTTGACAGAAATTGTTGTCACCACCAGATAGTTTTAGATAAGAATAAACAATAATAACATATCCAATAAAAACAACTATTTTCATTCATTTAGTACTCGATATATTAGTATTCGACATTAGACCATTACTATGTGAAGTGAGTAAATAAGTTTAATTCAATAATGTACTGCCCCTACAAATTTTCACCAAGGATTTTCCTAAGTTATTTCAAATTACATTGATATGGCTCTCAACTGCTGTTAAATTTGCTTCCTATCGTGCTTCAAATCCCGCCGCGTATTGATCATCATCAGATCAAATAAATATTCAAATTAGCAGTAATAGAGAAAATATTATTAATAAAAGTAGCATCATCAAGTCAACTACTCTAAGTTTAAATACTCAAATTAAAATGTGAGAGGACCTGAACATTTTGTTGCGAAGTAACGATATAAGACATATTCACTAAAAAGTTGCATCAGAATCAAACATTAAATGAAGTCTTTTCCTATGTCGTAACTCCAAGTAACACATTTGAGCGAATTCAAAAAAACTGAGCTAACGTAGTTGTATGTTAATAATCTCATTTTTCTAAAAATTATCCTCTAGTCGATCTGCGGTAGCTTTTTGAATTGATCTTTTCAACTAACGTACAATGATTGTATACAATGAGATAGTAATGAGTCGAAAATATCAAGTTCAAAACGATCTGAAACGATTTCAAATAAATTTGTAACCATAGTTCGGACACCTGTTATAAAATGGGGAAAATATGAGACTATATTTCGATTTTTATCACCGTTAACTACCCCTTATTGAGGGACAAAAAGCTGGTCGGTTTACGTGGTGTTGCTTTTGACTATCATCGGAGGGAATAATTAGCATTTTCCTAGAACAGATGAACAAATTTTTCACACCTGTTTGTTTTGCTGTGACCACTAATATTACTAGAAGACATCAGAAAATTTTCTCTTTCTCAACACTCAAGTAACAATTACCTGGTTTGAGAGAGATGCCCTTAGCACTAGTGATAATATCACAGCAATTGGACAGATACTTGTGATATTACCAAAAACCTCAAAATTAAAAAACTTTAAAAAGTATAAAAATGATAGTTTTGAGCTAAAAAACAAAAATAATTAGTTTTGGAAATTGTCTCAAAAACGATCTGTTTATGGTACCGTTTTCCTTGGTCTCGTTACTCGTGAGATATGTCAACGTTACTGTCACTCTGCTGAAATTTTTCATTCATTTATTTATTTAATAATAGAAAGGAAGCGTCAGTGTCTATCTGGTAACAAGACTAATATCGGCCAAAAAATTTACCAATGAATAGGACATAGTACACGAAAGAAAACAACGTACAATCTAATAATCTGAAATTATTTCCAACACTAAATAATTTTAATTTTGTCTCCTCAATTGTTTCTTGTTAAACACTGTACGATCACTGAATAAAAGCCGAAATATCGTGATAAACAATGATTTCAACATTTTCAGCTTCTATTCTACTGAAATTTATTTCTAAAGTATGCTTACTTTTATAGAGCATACAAAATATAGCTTATTCTTCAGGCGTTTTTGAATCAAACTAAAAAATATTTTACTGTTACAATCGCAATACTTTTTTTCTATTAGAAATGTAAAAGAAATCTAAGGCTTTCACAGAAAAACGTTGAAAAGGACGTATTCAAAGTAACTCAATTTTTTCTGTTTGATTAACGGGTAGACCAGAGTCAAAAAAACTATTAAAAAAAAAATCAGTGAGTGATTGCTGAAGACTAATTTCGTTTTTGCATTCTCCTCATCTACTAACAGTTGCATTTTTTGAACCTATGACCCACTACTCAATAACGAACACTTACAGATGGGCCACAGTGGACAACCAGACGGACATTTAGAAAAAAAGTCAGCTTTCATTTTTTCAAGTT